TACGAACATGATACTTAATACTAACAAATTCACTTCTCTGAAATATACTGCTAATTACTTAATTAGTTTTTGAGATAACTAGCTGATTTTTGCATCATTAGATGTACAAAGTGTTTCTCTACTCAGAACTGAAAAGATAATTTTTTTATCGCCAAAAATGGCTGAGAAAAATGAATAATCATGAAGGACGTTGAAATGCCTGTTCTCATTAGGGACATGCGCTGTAGCATGGAAGAGATCATATGGATGTGAGAAATTTTACATAGATGTACACATCGAAAATCTTTTATATCATAACGAAGGCCGCATTTCTATACTATTTTTCCTACGTGAATTATGCAGACGACAATAAACTTGAAAAAACTGCTTATGGTTAGTTTGCTCGCCTCCCTCTTTTTTGATCATATCCAGTTGTCAACGAGGTAGGGCCAGTCAAGCTGAAACTTTTATCGCATACAGAGTACAGCAAATAATGTGACCCGTGTTTTAAGGAGTATTCTACGAAAAAAGTATATTATCAAAGATCTCCATTGTGATTCACACTTACGTAGAGTCCACTTAAAAGTATCTGTGATAAAATTTTCTGACCTGTCAAACGAACTTAGAGAGGGATCGTTATGGAATCCGATAGACACCTTTGAAAAATATGCTATTTTCTCAGAATATCACTAAAAACACACTTTCCCATTAATTTCTCGATCACAAGTCTCATCATTTGCTGTGCTCTGTATGTGGTAAACGTTTCAGCTCTAGTGGCCTTACCCTCGTTGAGCACTGGATATGATCAAAAAAAAGAGGGGGTGGGTACCCTTAATTCAGGACCCTAGTATTTAAAAAGATGAAAAGGCAAAATTGTACAACTAACACTGTAATATTTCAGTGAATATCATCCGATTCCGTTCTCTGAGATTCTCAATGTTTCATGCCAATCGATGTAAGCGTGATTCTTTAGAAAATCTACCAAAGTTTACATCAACTTTCTTTGAATGGAATGAAACTTTTAGCTTTTGTAGAGGTTGTAACCATAAGTATATCTGTGAACTTAAAAAAAATTTAAAACTTTTTCAAGGGCTCGAAAAGGAACATATCAGGTACGTTTTGCTGACGAATCTGGAGTTTAGCCACCTCTCCTGTTTTAAATAGGAGAAATCTGGAAATCTTACCATATATACTATTCACTAACGCCATCATTTTTGTATCGAACAATATTTTCTTCCTGTTCTGTTTTTCGAGAAAATCTCACAGAAAGAAGACGATTATTTTTATAGTTTTTGTGGTCAAATATCTTTATGGAACTCAAATGAATTTGTACCTCTTATTAATGTTTTAAAATTATCAAAGTATTCTTTCTTAACGTTAAGATCCGCAGGTCTGTAGCTCGTTCATATATCGATTGAAAAGGTCATCTTTGGAATCTTCTTTTAAACTTTTGTCGATTTTGAATCTCCCTCGAACACAACTACGGAATTTTGAGAGCGTATCCTATAATGGGCATTCATCAGCACACCTATTTCTACCGTTCTTGAACATTTCATTTACACAATGCGATTTCACCGAAAAAAGCTTACCAGCCCAACTTCTTTGCACTTGAAATATGAAAATCACACATTTCCTTCAGCTCAGTTATGCTCATACGAAATCTATATAGTCAATAATATCTAATAGACGATACCTGCTCTTGAAGAATAGTCGATCGTCAAAGAAATTGTCTGTCTTACTTATATTCGCATTTCAACTAGAAATTATTTCTTTAGTTTCTTTACGGGAGTTCTATTTTTTACTTACTTGTTACCATTTGTTCATTATTTGTATTGTTTTATTTTTCTAACCGTTGATTTAACTGAGAGCATTAGTAAGATGATTCGCACATTTATAGTCGGTCTTTACCAAAGAATGTCTGCCATGGAGGGAGAGGAAGTCAGAAAGTCTCGATTTAAATATACGTTCACTATTTTTTGTCAAAAGATACGTGAGTTCTAGAAAATCGATTTTCAAGATGTTCTGAACAAAATCATTGTTAAACCTGCTAAAAACATCCTAGAAAACGTTCAAAATGGATTTTTTCGGTCAAATAACATTGGGCAAGAACGAAAATTTTAGGAATGGTACTGCTAGGTGTGCTTATGAAAGACTGCCTGAAAACAGATTTTGAGAGTCCTATAGTTGTGCCTTCAGGTGAGTGTAGAAAACTGAGGAATTTCCAAAAATAGGCCAGAAAAATGTCTTGCCATTTAATCTAAGAGCAAGCTAGCAGGTGCCGAACTTTAGTGTTGCATAGAGTACATTCTGCCGATTCTAAAGCACTGATAGCAATTAAAAATCTCTTTTAACTACATAGAGATATTTTTGCTCAAAAATATCAAAACTTTACATTTTTTCGTAACTGTTTCTCAAAAACCTAACGCGGTGAAACAAAATTTTGGCCATAAAAAATGATCACGTCAGTAAGTATTATATATAGTAAAATTTTCAGACTTTTATCATTTAAAATAGAGGAGCTCGTTAACCTTCAGACTGGTCAGCAAAACGCATCTTGCATACTCCCTTTCGACCACTTTAAAAAGTTTAAATTTTTTTTCATACTACAGCTATCCTTTAAGTTACAAGCTTCACAAACATCGAAAATTCCATTTCATTCATAGAAAGTTGATGTGAACTCTGGTGGGCTTTCGAGACAATCACCCACAAGTCTAACAAATAAAAAAATCCAAAATATTACAGATAAACATACCCTCATTGACAATATTTGGTAATCTGGAAAAGATTGTTTCCTGCATTTCTTCGGCTTCTTTTGGTAGAATAAGCGACAAATTTCTAATAGATTTCATTGATCGATTGATCTGATCAGAATTAGATTTTGAAGAGAAAATTTGAAAGAATAGATGTTGAAATCTTTCAGCTATACAAGCAACTGTTCTTTCATTAAACAAATCACATGAGCAGACAAAACTACATGTTAATCTACTATCATTCAATGTAGGATTATCAATAAATGATACCATAAAATCAAATGTAGCCATTACAGGTGCTTGGTTTAGTGTTGCTTGTTGTAGACTTGTTTCACCAAAAGATAATTGATCCACATCTGATGAAATAGTGATAAATTGAAATGCTGTTTCAAGAAATGAAACATTTGATTGATTAAGATGAATATCACTAAGAATATGTTGTAAAGGATAGTAAGAATGTTGAAGAATTGATAAACATTTTTCTTGAACATGTTTGACAAGTTCATCAAACGACCAATGAGGATTAATTTGAATACGATAAGGTAATGTTGCAACAAACATTCCAATGATATTTTCTAGCTCACTTCTATATCGATTAGCATCAAAAGAAGCAATACATAAATCATTTTGTCCATGAGTTAATTTGAATAAGAATACATAAAATGTGGCCAATCCTAATTGATAAGGTGTCATGTGATGTGATGAAGCATACTCAAGAAATGAACTTGAAATATTATAATCAAATGATATTTGAGCTATAGAAGCGAAACCAGATCGTTGATCAGTTGATGAACGCGATCGATCAAATGGTAATAATAATGGATATTGTAGGTTGGATCCTGCAAGTTCCGAGTGCCAAAATTCATGTGATAATGACATATCCATTTGATGTTCATAAACTGAATAATCAATATATTCTATAGCATTATCTTCTATAGATAATGGACTGTTAGTCTCATAAGCAAGAGAAAGTTCTCGAAGAAAAATTGATAGAGATGTTTTATCAAATGCTGAATGATGAATATTAAATAAGATGAAATCATCATTCATCAATAGATCATCATTTTGTGATGAAAACCAATTTAAATGGTAATGACGAAGAATATGACAATGGATAACACGCCCTTTTGATAAATCAAATAAATCAGAATGATTTAGTATATCACTTATTGTTTTTTCAATTTCACAATCATTGTCAAGATTAATTATTGAAAATCCATATGGTTTCATTTCATCATGAATGGTATTCACATTGAAACAATGTTGTATAAGAGTGCCATTACTATCAAGATAAAGTGCTGTGCGAAAAATACTGTGTTTGATTATGACAGATTGAAATGCTCGATGTAATCGGTCAATCGACATATAGTTATCTTTAGATGATGATGATATACGATAGATTAATGGAATGGCATATATGCTATTTTTGTTTTTAGGTGAAAAACGAATTTGTTCATCAAGAAATATCCTTTCTTGCGCAAATGATGCTCGAGCTAAAATATATGAGAAGAACAAAGTTGAATAATGAAAAACTCTTTTTTTTTGAATACCTTGAGTGAGATGTAATGAAGACCATGAACTATCGAAATGTTGTTCACTATTGAGAGATTGATGAATGAATTGAGCATGACCAATAATTGTTGGATATTGAAATAGATCAGTTATAGAAAGAGATTTTGTACCTAGATGAAATGTTGTTTTGTATCGATGAAAAAGCTCTATAAGAATAAGAGAATGGCCCCCAATTAGGAAAATATTTGTATCAGTTGAGATTTGTTTATGATCACAAATGTCACACCAAATATGTTGAATAGTAACTTCAATTTCATTTCGTGGTTGTAATAATTCAACATGATTTTTGAGATGTATTGATGGAAAGTGAGAGAAAGCAGGTGAAGGAAGTTGCTTTCGATCTATTTTTCCATTTGCATTCAAAGGTATTTTATCAAGTATCATGAATATTGATGGTATCATATGTGGTGGAAGATGAGATTGACAATGTTCTCGTAGTTGGACTTCATCAATATCAGAACTTTGAACATAAGCAACTAAATAATCATCATTCCATTTCAAGACAACACAAGCAGAGATGGATGTGATGTTAAGTAAACATCGTTCGATTTCACCAAGTTCAATTCTTTGTCCATGAAGTTTGATTTGATGATCTTTTCTTCCTTGATAATGAAGAAGACCATTGTTATCTATTCTAACAAGATCACCTGTCCGATAAAATAGTTGACCATCTATTTCAACAAGAACTGTTGCAGTTAAATCATCGCAGTTAAGATAACCAGCAAATACACCTACTCCTCCCACTAGTAGTTCTCCTTTTTCTTGAATCATAGCAGATTGCAAGAAGTTGTTTAGAGATAAGCATATGTAATGAGGTAGTGGTTTGCCAATTGGAAGATCATGCATGTGAGAGGTCACATCAATTAAGTGACATGTAGTTCCAAGTGTGGCTTCCGCAGGACCATAAAAATTCCAAATTCGACAGGCTACGGCAACAAACTGCATCAGTAATTTGATGAAAGCTGATGAGACAGATTCACCTAGGTTGATAAATTAATCAATATTTATTCTATTTCGCGTGCTCTTGTTCAACTTACCGACGCAGTTAATATTTCTCATTAGTATCCATGGAGGAAATCTATTTTGTTTCAGGAAGTCACATAAATGATTGAGATAAGTCGGAACCGCTACCAGATATGTCACTTGTTTGTCATGTAAAATATGGTTCATATATTGAAAATCCATATTTCCTTGTGGGTGTAGAATGATCACTGTTGCACCGCAGATTAGAGATCCTACAATTTCCTGTACATGCGCGTCAAAGGTTGAACTAGCTATTTGAATTACAGTGTCATTTTCGTGAAGTGCATCCATCTGAACGAAACCCAGTATTGAATTGATGAAATTCTGCTGTCTTAGTTGAACCTAGAATAAAAACTTTCAGTGTCAAATTTACATTATG